GATATTGATTTTGCTTTAACACGCGAATAACAATAACAATAGCAATACTCTTGTGAAGTTTTACGATGGTCCGAAAAAAAATAGTGTAGGAAAGAAACGGAACTCCGATCTTTTGCACACAAAATGTAACGTTGGACATTACGTTTATGCGTAAAAATAGGATAATTAAGTGTTATAATTCTTGATATTTTAAATTTCGGTTCCTTTTTTTCTTTATTTTCAAGTCTAATGAAATAAATTCAACCAAAAATCAGTATATTTTTATCGAACTGACCAGTCTACGTATTTATTTTCATGCTAATCTATAGCAAAATGGAATTTGTACCAACATCGTGCGCAACGTCAGTGTTTTCTGACAAAAAGAGTTCTCTGGGTTTTCCCCATAGGGTTCTATGTTGAACTGATGTGCACAGTGACAGCCAACCTGTACCAAACACTGAAAATAGCAGTGTCTTTTTTTTTAATATTGAGTTTTAATGTTCAAGACTGTCATGGAGGAGACACTAATTTAAATAAGTGCCGACCGTTCATAGATTCTATTTAGCTAGACATTGCTTTTAATATCAAATCTACATATTGGCCAACATACTATGAGTGCTTCGTGTATATAATATGTACATTCCTGTAAATAAATTTTGTGCAAGTGCAACGTTCCATTGGAGGATTTCCTTTCAACATTTTAACTTTGAAATAACTTCTATGTGAATACTTAAACATTTTTAAAAATGATCCGTTAAGGAAACACAGCTAGCTGAGTGTGCTCCAACTCTGGAGAGATTTACGTTAAGAGCAGAAGATTGCAAGGATTGCCAAATGATTCTGATAAAATATGTTCCACAATTTTGATTTTGGAAAGCAGCAAAAACTCAAAATCAGAAGAGGATCACATTAGGTGCATTTCTGCATGATATGATTTTAGTATGCGAGATGGTGTCCGAGAACCTGCATGCATGTAATATTTGTATGGTTCTATTTATGTTCCTTTGAGGTGGTCATTTCTTACTTGGGTTTGTCCACATAAAACTGAAAATTTGTTCAGGATCTTCCCAGTATTATTAGTAAAAGATTTTGTTAAAATGTGGAAATTGTTTCTATAACGCCAAATAAAATAGTATGTGTGGTTCCAGTTACATCTAAAAAAAAGTTAGGGTAGGTAGGTAGGGATTTTTTTAAAATTGTATGTTGTTTTTTTTTACATTGAGTCTATGGGAGCAACATTCTGACTTTAACAGTGCTTAATGAAAAATGACAAAAAAATCTTTAGGGTAGGCTATTATTAAGACTAAAAATAAATGGGGTATGTGTCCATGGGATGGACACAGATGATGCCCCAGCTTGTATATCATATAAAGCTATAAAGGGATATAACCGAAGAACGGCAAAAGTGACGCTACCCAAATTTGTACTTGATCTGTGTATTATGATAAAAAATTTTGTGTTTAAGTTTCATAACATTTGATTGAGGCAAACATAAGTTAGAGAACACAAATGAAAAATTCAGCAATTTTTCCATTTGTAAAGGGGAATTACTCTAGAACAGTAAAAGTGACACAACCAAAATTCAAACATGATATGTATTTTGTGATAATAAGCATTGTGTATAAGTTTCATAACATTTGGTTGAGGCTAACTAAAGTTAGAGAACGGAAACGAAAAATTCAGCAACTTTTCCATTTGTAAAGGGGCATAACTCTAGAACGGTTAAAGTGACACAACCAAAATTCAAACTTGATCTGTATTTTGTAGTAATAAGCATTGTGTATAAGTTTCATAACATTTGGTTGGGGCAAACTAAAGTTAGAGAACGGAAACCAACTTTGGGACGTACGGGACATACGTACGGACAAGGGTAAAGCTTAATGCACCCTCTGCTACAGCGGGGGCATAACAAGTAGGGTAGGTAGGGTAACTGGAACCACACATATATTTTTATTTGGCCTAAAGATGTATTATGGTTTTAAATAACGACAATATACCAGATATGGCAGATACCAATACAGATGCTCATAACTCCTACAAACTGATTAAAATTCTTTTAGATATGGATTAACATTGCGACGGCGGGGGCATAAAAAGTGTTACAAAACCACCTAGCATCATATTGTTATTGCATAACTACCTCTATGTGTATTGACCTCTAGACGTCTTTCAATTATCTTTGGCATTGGGTTGTTTTCTTATTGTTGTACATGTATATATCCCTGTAGCATTTATTTAAATAAATATGAAAGGAATATGACAAAGTAGATCGAGAGGATGAACTTCTTTCACCAAAATATTAATATTCATGTACATATACATGTAATTTTTAAGATGATAGTGATGATGGTCTTATTGTAATTATCTGAGGTTTGACCTTTTAATTTTAAGCTGTAACATGCCCAAGATTTAATGTCAATAGACCATGACAACCAAAACTAAGGGGGTTGACCAACTAATCCCCATGGATGAGATGTTGTAATTCTGATAAGTGTTTTATCTAAAGCAATTTAGCCTTTTTTCATGACGCCATGCACGTTTTTCCTGACGTCATGCCCTTTTAATCCTGATGTAATCTTCAATATTAATTGAAGCTGAAACTGTATATCAGAAGAAGAGAAGACAAGTTGTGATATTTCTGTAAATGTTTGAATACTTCTTTTTTTGCATTTGATGACAGAATTTTGGTGTATTCGGGTGCTTCATTATAATAAGAGAGTATTCTGTCAACCTGGATTGTAATAAAAACGTATGGTTGGGCCATATATTTCTTGAAGTAACTTATTGTTTAGTAGAAATGACAATTTTTACTGCAATGTTTCAATGAAATGAATAATTGAACATGGTTTTTATGTTAGAAATGTACTAAGAGCTTTTTTGACGTTTTTTTTCTTTACTTTTTTATACATTCTGGAGCACTTGAGATCACTCCCAGTTTTTGTTGGGGTTCGTGTTGCTTAGTCTTTAGTTTTCTGTGCCAATAGATTGAAATTCTATAACTTTCAATGCCCAAGTAAAATTTCGTAAAATTTTTATTGGCTTCTATGGAATCTAAAGATTCCTTTTGCCTCAGCATACATGTTACCTGAATTAATTGCATGCAGTGGCGCAGGATCGGACCCGCTATTAACCTTGATTCATTTAAAACAGTTTTACTTTACTATTTATTTACAATCAATTCAAACGGAGTAGTTCAAAGACCGGGTATTATATAAGAACTCCCAAGAAAATGAAAAATTAAGAAAAATATAAAATCGATAATTATCGACCCGTTGGAAAATATTTGTTAAGTTTTATAAGAGTTCGACTATAGCTGTGCATAATCATTTTCCGTCTTTTTCTTTTTTGTTGATATATATACCACTCTTCATTTAATCGGTAATTTTACCAAATAGGACACAATAGTTAATATTAGAGATAAGAGAACTATTCTGATATCTCAAAATCTGCAAAAAAAAGAAGAAAAAAAAAGACTGCCAAACCAGTAAATGATCTGTTGGTTTACCGATTGAGTCCCAGTCGCGATTGTGACATTCTTAAAAGAGTGTGAATGTGCATTGTGGATGATGCACACACCCTGTCGAAAGCATCCATGTGGTTTCGATTTGTTACCCTGAATTGTCTTTTCTTAATCGATTTACAAGATTTTAACATCGGTAAATTACTGTCGCTATATTTTAGCTATTTGATCCTCGAGACAAGCACCTTTTAAAACACATTTTTTATCCTTAAAATGGAAAATTAGTTTTGAAGCTCGCTACCTACATCTGCAATGTGCATATCATTTGCTAAGTATCTTTGCTTAGTGTCTTTACTTGGTGTTTTTTTTTTATGTATAGATGTATAGATACTTTGTGTTTTCGTTAGATGTTTTCTGCTTTGAATCGATCTGATGAGTTAAGCCCTTTTCAACTGATTATAATTATTTGTTCTTATGTTGTACTGTTACATCACTGTCACAGGTAAGGGGGATGGTTTGGCGCCAGCAAACCAGTTTAACCCCGCCACATTCTCTATTTGCTTGTCTCCAATCAGGAGCATGTAGTTCAGTGGTTGTCGATGGTTCATGTCTATCACATTTGCTTTTCTTAAATTGTTTGGTTATAAATTAGGCCGTTAGTCTTCTCAATTGAATTGTTCCGTTTTTTCATGTATGAGCCTTTTATAGCCGACTATAAGGTATGGCTTTCCTTATTGTTGAAGGTCGTACGGTTGCTTATAATTGCTTACATCCACTTCATTTGAACTCTGGTGGATATTTGTCTCATTGTCAATCATACCACACTAATTTTTATATAGACCAAAAATTTGGAAAACTACTGTCGCTTATCATCAAACAAATTTAGAGAGAAATCACAACATGATACTGAGCATAGAATTGTACAAATCCCAAAATTCAGTTACAGCGACTGAAATTTGATAACACTTATCATATCAGTTACCACTTTTTACAAACGCTTAGTTTTCAAGTTTCAATAAATCAGAGAATCATACATGATTTCAATGATACTGTCCTCTGAATAATGCAACTGAAATGATTTTTTGTCTTCTGTATCTGTAATGTTTCAAGCAATCAAAACCATATTACAAGAGGGGAGGATCTTTTCTGTTAACCCATTTGTTTTAAGACAGAACACATTTTTAATTTCCTTTTGCTTAAACTGAATACCGATATAAGATGAAAAAACACATGCTAGAAACTTAACAAATAGGTTGTCAATAAAAACAATCCAGTAATTTGAGGATGTTTCGGTGATTTTATTTTGTTCCAATTACAGTGGATTTTTTAAAAGTATCATTTGTCCCTTCTTGAAACATAATATTTGCATTTGCACTGGCCAATCATAGTTGGGCTGATTTATTCAATTACTCTTAATTATTAAGTGACTTAACAAATATAACGTAGTAAATTTCCTGTTAAATATAGTTATGGACATGAATTATTAGGTGACCATAGCCAAGTAATAAATGTATTCTACAGATTTATTTTACAATTCCTGTATTTTATTTTGCAGATCAGATTTGGATATACTGCCAGATTCCAAAAACAACTGAAAGTTCTCAATTAGCAAAGAATCTTTTTAAAGAATTTTTAAACGTTTCCATGACAATGAGACCTCCACGCAAACATCATTCTAACATGTCAAGGCCAGCAGGTGGACCATCACATATGCCAAATGGAACCGTACCATTTAATTTTAAAACTTATTTCGAAAATGAAGCATATATTTTTTACGGATATGTTGGACCAATCATTACCGTCTTTGTTATAATTATGAATGTTCTGCTTATTGCAACAATTATAAAAGGAAAGTTCCGGACGTCTACGCATGCCGTAATGGTTGCTATTGCTTTTGCTGATATTCTTACCGGTATCATTCCAGTTCCTTTCAACGTAAAATTTTTTAGTGTCGACCATGTGGAAAACTTTTTAAAAATAGAATGGTGCTATATATTTGAAATATGTCAAATTATTCTCCCCACAGTATTTCATCTTATATCATTGAGCCTAACAGTTGCCCTTTCGATAGAGAGATTTTTCGTAGTTTCTTTTCCGTTGAAAGTAAAACGATTTTGCACCATGAGAAATGGGATTCTGTTCAGTATTTCTGTAATTGTCGCTAGTGTGTGTGCACAGATTGATACATTTCTTGACGTATCATATGAACCAGTCGAAATCATATCTCGAGATAGAAAATTTACACTGACAGGATGTAGACGATTGATAAAGGCGAAATCTGATGAAGAGTTTATTACCAGAATGTTTATTCTACGATTCATTCCATGTATTCTTCTTATTATTTTCACTATTCTGTTAGTTCGAAAATCGTCTGACATCCAAAAATGGCGTAAGCAATCAACCTCTTTCTCCATTGCTTCTTTAGAGCGAATGGATTTTGCTGTATCTTTGATTGCATCCATTGCTTGTGTGACAGAACTAGTTACTGCCAGTTTGCTGCTAAATGAACATCTAAATTCCCAATACAGAATAACCCCAAGTAATGCTTTACTTTCTGGAATTATATACGTAGTTTATATGGTTGTTAGTCCTATAAATTTAGCAATTTTGTGTTTTCTCAGTGAAAAGTTTAGACAAACTTTTAAAGGAATGATTTGTAGATATTAATAATTTAAAACATTCTAGCATATCTGTCTGCAAAAAGCAAAAGGCATAAGCTATGCCAATATCTCAAGGATACTATAATGCCTATGAACTGAAATCAAAGTTCTAATATATTGTACTAATGACTTAAATAAACTTTTATTTCATTCTTTTTATTTATAAAACATTATAAAATGATTCTTAACATCAAATACATATACCAATCATATGACTTATTATTTTTTTTTGTTTTGTCCGTATTTTCAAATGGTTCACTTTATTATTTGACGTAAGTTATGCGTATCTCTGACTTTCCGGATTGGTTGGTGTCCAAAGTAATTTTCTTCTATTTCACTATATTCAATAACGTTTACGAAGTTGGTTAAACAAGTACGTTCGGGATAGATTAGAGTCAAATATGATGATGCTTACAAAACATTTCAGATGTATTTCACTTGGTTTAGGGAGAACTCAAAATTGTTAACCCAATGGGTTAACGGATGTTGTTTTATTGAAATTTGCTGCTTTTAATCAAAGAAATCATTGAACAGAGGAATGTATCTATCTCGTGCATAGCTCTGAATCCTTGTCCGGGTTTAACTGTACTTGTTAATAATGCATTCTAAATCCGGGTTTGTCTATACTTGTTAATCTTGCATTCTAAATCATTTGGTTACTGAAGAGATAGAAAAAGAGAGGCGAAGGATACCAAAGGGACATTCAACTTCATAAGTCGAAAATAAACTTGACAACGCCATGCCTAAAAAAGAAAAAAAAAACAACGGACAAACAGACAGACAAAAACAACATAGAAAACCGAACACTGAGCAACACGAACCCCGCCAAAAACTGGAGGTGATCTCAGGTACTCCGGAATGATAAGCAGATCCTGCTCCACTGTGAAGACTATTAGTAAGTGCAAAGTGAAATACATGTAGGAAACTGTTTTCATTGCAAACGATCTTTTTCAACATTCTTTGTATACAACCGACAACAACAGTATTATAAGCCAAATGAAAAAAGATGTTGTCATCATTACTATATAGTTACAACAGATATAATCGCCAGCAGCTTTGCCCAATGTGAAACCTTTGTTTAAAAGGTAACTTCTAAAAAAGCGCTTCGGACACAAGAAATTTATAAAGTGTGGTTTTCATTTTGTTGAGAACAATTTTTAAACCCGCTGCATTTGTTTGCACCTGTCCTAAGTGAGGAATCTGATGTTCAGTAGTTATCGTTTGTTGATGTGGTTCATAAGTGTTTCTCGTTTCTCGTTTTTTATATAGATTAGACCGTTGGTTTTCCCGTTTGAATGGTTTTACAGTAGTATTTTTGGGGCCCTTTATAGCTTACTGTTCGGTGTGAGCCAAGGCTCCGTGTTGAAGACCGTACTTTGACCTATAATGGTTTACTTTTTTAAATTTTGACTTGGATGGAGAGTTGTCTCATTGGCACTCATACCACATCTTCTTATATCTAATTAGATTATTATTAGTTCAACTTTCAACTTCAGATGACAATTATTTTTGAAGTCAAATCACAACAACGACGAAAACAAGCAAGGCAAATTATAACGCACACTTAAACTAAAATCTGGGAAATGCAGTGTGTTCTTGATGATTAACATTATTGAAAATTATGACAAGCCGGCAATATAAATCAGTTGATGATCTCGTTCACTTATAATATTTGCATTGAAACGAATCGTACAAACTTAAAGAAATAAAAAGACAACCATGATATAAGTCATCTTATAGAACCAAATGTTATTTGAATGTTTGGTTTACACAAAAACAGCACAACAACGAAGGAAATAACCAAATAATATATACAAGGTATTATACAATCTTCAACACAGATAGATGTTCTGTACAGTAAATATGTCAGACAAAGTTGTGATTGACATCCCTATCAAAGATCTGCCACTAAAATCAAATGCTTTGCTTAAAAGTTTACCATGGGCACTAGCTTAGTCTGATAATTAATTAGAAATATAACAAGTACTTTACACTACCAATGTTCAACCATTTCAAAAGTCTAGGTAGTACAAAAATAAAGTGAATTGATAGAATTTAAAATGCAAGCTAAAATTCAATGTAATTGTAACATGTAGCATTTACAACATTTGCTTGGCGGTACAAGTGAAATACTTATATTTAAGAAATAATTTGTGTTACCACTGACAGACAAGTTCCGGAATGTCATGCTTTCTCGTCATTTGTTGGTTTATCAATGTCTTTAAGTACGGACATTCATTTGTGATAAGACTAATTAAAATGGAAAACTATTATTTAATGTAAAAGAATATGTACTAATACGAAAATTCATCTTTACAGTTGGCATGCATTTACCAAGGACATTTAAAATCATTCTCAAATTTTTTACACACGGTAATTTGCTCAAACATATCGTAAATGTTTATGGAAAATGTTGTGAAAACAAGGGTATTTTCTAAAAAGTTTCCTTTAGTGCGTTCCCACGCGACTTTTTTAATTCTGTAAAACCAATGAGTTTCCTATGTCTATAATGAGATTAATATCAAGAGTTGGATCACTTACACAGTGAATTTGATTATTTCAGGACTCAAAACTGAGTGGGAGTCAATTACAGTAGTCTTCTATTAAGACCAGTTTGTGTGGTGGTCCAAAATTTTCGTTAGGTAATTTTTCATCAGTTAATAGTAAAACAACCGAAAATCAAATAAATTCTACCCAATTACGGAATGACTGTGTATGCCAATACATTGACTGAAATAAAAAAACCCATTAAAATTGGTGATAAGACTATAACATGTCAATGATCTGTAAAATTACTGAGATGTTTAGCTAGCTATAAAACCAGGTTTAATCCACTATTTAATTCGGAAAATGCCTGTGCCAAGACAGCAATATGACAGTTGTTTTGCATTCGTTCCGTTGGTTGATAATGTCTAACGTTTGATTTTGTTTATGGACTTCTCCTCTTTTTGAATTCATCTTGGAGTTCGGTAATATTTTTTAATATTTTTTTACGTATCTCCATAGGGTTATGAAATTATTGCTTCGGACTAGCAAATAAAAACCAACATTACAATGTCTTGTATAACATTTGTTATTTAATGTTCATTAATCAGTGACTTGTACATTTGTATAATATACAATGGACGATACAGTTAAAGAAACCTAATACAAATTGGTTCAACGATTCAAACTTATTTTGAAAACTATTATTGATGATAGACAAATAAGTAGTTAGGATAAAATCAATAGTACAAGATCTACAAAAGTTTTGTTTATAGGAGTTTACTAAATGAAGATTTTTTTCAAATTTTAGCTTTTTTGACATATTATCTTGAAAAGTAAAATAGATTGACAGAAAATGGAAAAAGCAAATACCATATAAAACATAAGATCTATAAAAATGTCAAATTGACTGAAACCATTCTTTCCAGTGACTATCTAAACAAATAAAAAATACCTCTTAGTTGACTTGTTAAAGGACTTTTCTCTATGGAACGCCACAGCTGTCTTATGTTGAACTCAGATATTACTTTATGTTGTTTTATTATTACTTGATGATATTTTGTCTTTACTTAATATGGTTTTGACATTACGTAATGATGTTTTGATATAACTCAATATGGAATAGTCATTACTTAATGATATTTCGATATTACACGATATGGTTTCGTATTGACTTGATATAGTTTTGTCACTACTCAATATGGTTTTGTCATTACTCGATGTGGTTTCACCATTATTTATTGTGGTTGTGTCATTAATCAATGTGGTTTTAACATAACTTGATGTGAATGTGACTTAACGTTATGTAGTTGTTTCATTTTATGATGTGGTTTTGTTATTTCGTAATGATGATTTGCCTATTCTTTATATGGTTTTAACATTACGCAATGATGTTTCAAAATTGTACGATTTTACACTACATGATGTGTTTGTTTCATTATTTGATGTGGTCCTGTCATTCTTTGATGTGGTTATCCCACTACTTGATGAGGTAAAACCACGTGACCAATTCGGAAAAAAATATGTTCTATTTTTAAACAGATTTCAATATATCGTTTGTTTAGTGTGCTTTAGATGGGTATCGCTATCCATTGAGTTAAAGTTCAAATTAAAGTTCGAGTGGTTGTTCAGAGTTATTTGGTATGAGAAAGGGGAACGGCAGACAATAATAAGAAAAAAAGTATTAAAAAGTTTACAGTATTTCGGACATAATTGGGGTATCCCCAAACCACTTGGTCCTGTTGTTATTATCCTATGTTCTCAAACGGAAACAGTATTTTTGTAATAAGTTTGTAAAATATTCCACGGAACCATGTGTCTCGCCTGATATTGCTGCTGTAAGTGTAAAAGCGTCATGTTGATCGGCTGTACATTTATCTATACATTTATCGGTAAAAACAAAATTAAAAAAAAATGTTTTTCTGTAGATGCTTTTTTTTTTGAAATTGAGGGATAACTCCTATATAAGATTTAAAACACTTCATGGAGGTTTACAAATTTATCATGTCAAAACAGTTTAATTCGGTTTTATTTAACTAAAACAAAACTGTATGGTTTTCAACAATGAACAAAACCCATACCCTATAGTAAGCTATAAAAGGTCCCGAAATAAAAAATGTAAAAAACTAGAAACATAACGATCTATAGATAGATACATAGATACTTTATTCTCTAAAAACTAAATACAAGTTTACAGAGAAACATACAATATAAATACAGATACAATAGTCGAGGTAAACAAATACAGTATGATATTCTAAAAGTACAAAATTATGATGGCATACATGTTTAGTAAAATGTATAATGAAAGATTAAACACAATAGAAATAAAAAAATGGAGATGGAGACGCCGACGCCACTATCGACGACGAAATATAGGTTTGTTGTGTCTCACTGTCGTTACATTGATGTCGCAGGCTCGACACAAATCAAAAGACTTAAACTTTATTGTTAACAAATGAAACACTACAAATCAACTCACACTAAAGTTACAGGGAAACGGGGGGAGGGGGTGCTCGAACTAAGCGACAAAGCATCAATACTATAAAATAAGAATTCTTCGATTTTTTTTTAGCGTAAATGATCATTTGAACTTATACGAATATCAATCTTTTATTTGTAATCAATTGAATTCCCTGATCTACCTCGCACTAATTGAAAAATAAACTTTTTGGAATATCTGTTTCACATGTGACGACGGACATGTTCCAGTGG